AACAACCAAGGCAAAAACGAACACAAACACAAAAACGAGCATCACACCCTACCAGTCAGGAAGAAACAGGGCACCTCCGACAGCAAGCACTGGACCCCGAGAAGCAGTCCTTGAAGGAGCTTTAAGTACTCGAAGTCAGGGTCCCAGAGAGCAGCTGTGTCCTCGACCAGGAGAAAGTGAAAGGTCCACACCATGCCGCTGCACATTCCGAGGACCACTGTTGTTATCTGCGAAGGGGAGATGGAGAGAAGGAAGGATGGAGTGAAGGAATGTGGAGAGGAGAGAGGGAGAGAAGGAGAGAGGGAGGGAAGGAGAGAGGGAGGGAGAGAGGGAGGGAAGGAGAAGGAGGTAAGGAGGGAGGGAGGGAGGGAAGAAGGGAGAGAAGGAGGGAGGGAGAGGGAGAGAGAGAGAGAGAGAGAGAGAGAGAGAGAGAGAGAGAGAGAGAGAGAGAGAGAGAGAGAGAGAGAGAGAGAGAGAGAGAGAGAGAGAGAGAGAGAGAGAGAGAGAGAGAGAGAGGAGAGAGAGAGGAGAGAGAGAGAGAGAGAGAGAGAGAGAGAGAGAGAGAGAGAGAGAGAGAGAGAGAGAGAGAGAGAGAGAGAGAGAGAGAGAGAGAGAGAGAGAGAGAGAGAGAGAGAGAGAGGCAGAGAGAGAGAGAGAGAGAGAGAGAGAGAGAGAGAGAGAGAGAGAGAGAGAGAGAGAGAGAGAGAGAGAGAGAGAGAGAGAGAGAGAGAGAGAGATGAAAATAAAATTATATAAAATCACACTGCAAAACGAAAAAGAAAACGAAAACGAAAACAAACAAAACATTAAAAAAACGAACCAGCGTGAGGATGACCGTGGGCCGCTTGAAGACCTGGTTCACCTCCGCAGACGAAATCTTCTTATCCGGAACCGTGAACCGCAGGCGAGACACAACGACCACGTCTAAGGTAAGGAAAACGACCACCATGATGTGCACGGGCAGGTAGTCCTTCTGGGGCAAGTCCTGTTGGGTAAGTGGGGAAGGGGAAGGGAAGGGGAGGGAAAGGGGGAAGGGGAGGGGAGGGGGGAAGAGGGAAGGGGAGGGGAGGTGGTAGGGGGAAGGGGGAAGGGGGAAAGGGGGTAGGAAGGGGAGGGGAGGGGGAAGGGGGAAAGGGGGTAGGAAGGGGAGGGAGGGGGAAGGGGAAGAGGGAAGAGGGAAGGGGAGGTGGGAGGAGGTAATGAGAGGTAGGGGGGGAAGGGAGAAGGGGAGGTGGGAGGGGGGAGGGGAAAGGGGAAGGGGGGAAGAGAGAGAGGGGAGAGGGGAAAGGTGGAAGGGGGGAAAGGGGAAGGGGAGAGGAGGGAAGGAGAGAAGAGGGAAAGGGTAAGTGGGAAGGGGAGAAAAGAGAAGGGAAATGGGGAAGAGAGGGGAAAAGAAAAGGGAGAAGAATGAATTGGGTATAGGAAGGGGGAAAGGGGAAGGGGAAGGGAGGGTGGCAAAGGAAAAACAGGAAGGTAGGAAGGGCAGTTAGGAAGGGGGAAAGGGAAGGGGAAGGGAAGGTGAGAAAGGGAAAAGTGGCAATGGAAAAGTAGGAAGGGGAAAGAGAAGAGGAAAGGGGAGGTGGGAAAAAGAAGGGAAAATGAGATGTTGAATAATAATAGTGATGGTAATAACGATGCAACACTAATAATGCAGAGATAAGAATAACAATAGCGGTGGTATTAAATACAGTCATGATAATATAGATCTCAGAGAGATGCAACATATAAGGAAAATAATAATAACATCACTAACAACTGTATAATTGACATCCATAATCCCAATAATAGTATAATTAACACCTAAATCTCTTACTTAACAATAATAGTAGTACTAACAACACCCAAACTTACTATAATAAAACAAAATAATAACAATTAAAAAGAAACAGTAATTTCATAAAACGAACATTTCAGTTCCGAACATCACCTCTTACAAAAAAGAAAGAAAGATAAAAAAAAAAACGAAAAACAAAGAAAGAAAAGAAAAAAAAATAGAAAGAAAAATATAAATAACAACAGCTAACAACAATACCAAACTAAACTATCAAAATAAAGTTTATATACATATATATGCACTAACTTGTGAATACCAGTCGACCAGTGCCCCGCCAATCACAGCTGTGGCACCATAGCTCACTGTACCCCAGAGTCGCTGAAGTCCGTATTTGTGAGGTTTGTCTCCTGAAGGGGGGGAGGGGGATAGGAGAGGGCGAGGGGGGGTTGATGGGGCGTGAGGGGGGAGGGGGTGGGTGTAAGGAGATATATACATACGTAAGCGAGAGTTTTATATGTGAGCTTATGTGCTCATGGGTATAGGTAAATATATGTACATATATACATATATACACGCACACGGACACACTTTCACATACATACACACACAAACACACACACACACACGTACACACACACACATATATAAACGCACACACACACGCACACACACACACACACACACACACACACACACACACATATATATATATATATATATATATAT